TGCCTGGGTTGTGGGCTCAATCCCTTGTACAGAGCATGCAGGAGGCAGCTAATTGATGTTTCTCTCTCATTGATATTTCTACCTCTCCCTCTTCATTGATATTTCTACCTCTACCTCTCATTGATATTTCTACCTTTCTCTCTAAAATTTATATATATATATAAAGAAAAAAGAACCCTGACTGGTTTGGCTCAGTGGATAGAGTGTCGGCCTGCAGACTGAAGGGTCCCAGGTTCGATTCCAGTCAAGGGCATGTACCTTGGTTGCGGGCACATACCCAGTAGGGGGTGTGCAGGAGGCAGCTTATTGATATTTATCTCTCATTGATGTTTCTAACTCTCTATCCCTCTCCTTTCCTCTCTGTAAAAAATAAATAAAATATACTTTTTAAAAAAAAAGAACTTGACTTTGAAAAACAGAAAGGTACCTAGCATTGCTTTTTCATTTTAAGTGAAAGACCCAAATAGAGGATGTTTCTCCTCTATAAATGTGCCCCTTTTAATATTGCATATAACTTGATTTTTTATGACAAAGTTCTTTCCTAAAAAAGGGCTGAAATTCAGTCAAACAAAGTCATTCTCGATCCTAAAGGACCTGCCGCAAACCCCGGTCACAGACCTCACACAGTGTGCCCTCCTTCCCCTTCCCAGTTGGTAGTCGCTAGGTTCAACGTCAGATCAAATTGCAAGAAGCCTCGGGCCCAGTTCTGTCCGCACAGATGAGCGCTCACCAGGCCCAGCGAGGGCCTCGCAGTGCCCGGGGCTGCAAGCAGACACGTTCCTCTGCTCCACTCCCTTCCCAGTTCCAGGTAACATAGAAACAGATCTTTGTCAACACTGATTCGCTGTGATAGGGGTGAAGCCAGTGTCCACGGCACAGGCCTGGCTGTCCGAAAGGAAGGAGGTGCCTGAGACTCTGACAGGATGGCTTAATGTCCAGCCCTCGTGCCCACATCGGCCGGAGTTACCACGCAGCGTTTGCCGGAGCAGCTGATGTTTCCTTCAGAAACAAGATGAGAAGGAGGGCGTGTTGTTTTTCAAGGCTTCTTGCCAAGAAGTCACGGAGGACAACTTCCCGCCTCCCAGCAGGAAAGTGACGTGGATCAGAAGGGTCCCTAACACGGGAATATTCACGCCCGTGGGTGAGACACCCCTGCCCACAGGCCTGAGGCCCGGCCCACACCTGCTCGCAGGTCCCTTGAGGTGCCGGCCTCCACTTCAACCTTCTGCAACCTCAGCTCAGCAGAAACATCACTTATCTTCCTCGTAGCTTCTCCATGAAACGCACACGGTGAGGGAATGCGGCGGCATGCCACTTTGCTGGAGGCCGAGCAGACGCCCTCACATCCTACACTGCATCCAGGCGCCCGTGTGTTTATCAGAATAACAGCCAAGTGACATAGTGCTCCCCTCAGCAGACGCCAGTGTACGGCTCCATATTATGGCCCCAAACTAGGAGTGACATTGAGAAGCGTGAACACAGAATAAAACTGCCTTCCTCATCAGCGTTCTTGCACACTGTTACACATGTCCCCCGTGTATGTGTGTGAGTGTGAGTGTGTATGAGAGAGAGTGTGTGTGTGTGTGAGAGAGAGAGTATGTTAGTGCATGTGCAAGTGTGTGTGTGTGTGTGTGTGTGTGAGAGTGTGCGAGTGTGCATGTGTGTGTTGGGTGTGTGTACAAGTGTGTGTGGTGTGTGTGTGAGTGTGCAAGTGTGTGTGTGTGTGTGTGTAACACACACGATCCCGGGGCTTAGCCCTCGCTGGCTCAGGCACACAGCTGGAAATGGGTGCAGCTAACAAGCTGCTGGCCCTGCTCAGCCGTCTCCCAGGACACGACCCACAGAGTGACCATGGCCCACGTGTGAGAAGTGCCGGCTGTGGCCCATGGGCTTGGTGGGTTGGAGCATTGACCCATATGCCAAAAGGTTGAGGGTTCAATAGCCTGTTGGGACACATGACTAAAAGTGGTTCAAATGTCCACGCTGGCAGCTCAGCATCCTAGTCCAGAAAGCCGACGGGCACGGGGTGACGATGGACAGCCGTGATCGCGAGAATCCTTCGTAGTGTTCTTGCAACACTTCCGGAAAACGTACGGGCGTGATGGACAGCCATCACGTACACCCATGTGGAAAGGTAAAGAAGAAAGAACACGGAGCTCCACCTTCCCGCTGGTTCCCCCAAAGTCTCGGCCGTGGAGCCCGGAGCGCGGAGCCAGCCACTAGGAGGGGCTGGCCACTTCCCAGAACTGGACCCGGAGCTCGGCCGGCTACTGGGCTATTTTTAACTCAGGACTGAGAGCGCGTGGCTGTGCCTTCCTTCTCACGCCTGGTGGCACACTTGGCACTGGGGGCACACGACCCAAGGCTGACCATGGGCACGGCCTGGCGTGATGGTCATGGCTGGTATGTCATGCCTGTACGTTTACACGCCGATACCTGGACTTCCTGCCACAAACGACACAAACCCAGAAACTGAGGGGCCAACTGATTCCACGTCTAGTTAAAGCGTCGTTGCCAGAGGACGTGGGAGGCTCGTCCACAGAGCACTGGGACCCCCACGCTGCCAGGGGGGTCTGCTTGGCTCCTCAGGCAGGTCCCATGCTGGCCCTGGAGGAGAGACAGGAGTATCCCCGATGGCAGGAGGCGGGAGGATACAAGGGCGATTACCTGACTGAACTCGGAGGGTCTTTCTCTTTCCCAGAATGGACGTGACTGCAGTCCCAGCATAACCCATGGTCCTGGAAAAAGACTTTATTGCCCATATCTGCCACTTCTGAAAGTAAAAGGAAGTGCTTAGCCATTGCTCCAGGTTAACGGTCATCAGCGACCGTTAGATGAGCCGCAGACGACAGAGAACCCGGGTCAGCGCGAGGCAGGTGGGGGAGGGGAGCTGGGAGCTGCCGCCGCCACCCTTCCTCCCGTGGGCCTTCCTCCCGTGGTCCTTCCTCCCATGGCAGAGCCGTCCACAAAGTCCTTGACTTAGGATCTTATTCAAAGCCAAAGCCGGGCAGCCGTAGGGTCAGGTTCTGCTTCAGATACAGAAGTACCGGCCACGTGTGCCCTCTGACCCTGTGTGCAGGGATTCTGTTGGTCTTAGTCTACTGCCTCCACCATTCTCTCTCTCTCTCCCTTTCTCTCTCTCTCCCTTTCTCTCTCTCTCCCTTTCTCTCTCCCTTTCTCTCTCTCTCCCTTTCTCTCTCTCTCCCTTTCTCTCTCTCTCCCTTTCTCTCTCCCTTCTCTCTCTCTCTCTCTCTCTCTCTCTCTCTCTCTCTCTCTCTCTCTCTCTCTCTCACACACACACACACACACACACACACCAGCTTCTCCTCCTCAGGAAGATCCCAGAACTTCTGACTGTACAGTCAGGACCAGTGCAAAGACCTCCTGTACCTGGGACCAGAAAGTCTGCCGATCTGTTCCCTCCAACCCAGAAACACACTTGAGTCCGAGGGCTGACCCCTGTCCTTAGAACCTCCTAAGACCCCAGCGATGGGTCTCGCTCCCGAAGTAGCAGCATTTCTGGCAATGACTAAGGATCACTCTGGTGCATGGAGCCAGCTTCCCAGGCTTCAAGGCTGGCCTGCTACTTACAAACCCTGCACAAGCCTGGCTGGCGTGGCTCCATGGTTGAGCATCGATCCATGAGCCAAGAGATCCCAGATTCAATTCCCTGTCAGGGCACATGCCCAGGTTGCCAGCTTGGTCCCCAGTGTGGGACTTGGAGGAGCAGCTGATCAATGATTCTTTCATCATTGATGCTTCTCTCTCGCCCTCTCCCTCCCTTCATCTCTGAAATCAATAAAATATTTGCGGAGAGGGGGATCCTGCACAAGCCACTTCCCTCCGCATGCCCGCTCCCTCCACCTGGCTCAGCAATGACGTCACTCTTGGGACCACCAAGACCAGCGAGATGACTCGCAGAGGGCATGACCAGGGGCCTGGCCTGCAGCAAGCACTGTTAATCTTACCATTACTGTCAGCTAACCCACCACAACTTGAGTTGGATTAGAAGGCAACTAACTCTTTTAAATTAACTGGAAATAAACCCACAAACAAACCGAGAATCAGTATCACTCTGAGTCAGGCTTTGCCGTGGCGTTCCTCACGGATGTCTGCTCCGTCCTTAGGAAGGAAGGAAGGTGGGAAACAGGGTGGCCGGGCCGCCAAGTAGCGGGGCTGCTCCGGGGTCCAGCTGCTCCTCAGGCTGACCCCACAGGGATAGCGGGAAGGCTCTCTGAATGGGCCCAGGAGCCAGGAAGGTTGCTTTGACTCGATCCCAGGAAACCAGGAAAGATGTTAAAAATGGAAAATTAGGGCCCAGCTATGTCTGTTCTTGGAGCTTTGCACAGAAAGCCAGCATGCCACAGGCCGCCATTCGTAATATTTATTTGGAAAAATATTTTAAAAAGGGATTTCTTCATTAACAAAACAGTAAAAAACTCAAATAACATTTGCACAATATTCCATAAATACATTTATATACAAAAAATATAGTCACATAGACCTGAAGTGCCTTTGTACATATTTACCAAAAATTTAAATTATAAAAAAATGAACATCACAAAATACTCAAGCTTTACAGATACCATGAAAAATATTTTTACAAGTCCAAAAAATAACACACATCTTTTCCCACCTAGAAAAAAAAAACACGTTTTAGTATCAAAAAGGACGATAAAGGCAGTGTTTGTGATTCTAGTTCAAGAAAGACTGGCTCATAAAAATCCAAAATATACACTCCGGGCAGTGCATGCGTCTCCTGTCGTCATTCAGTCCACTCATTAAATATATATTTCTCAAAAGCAACTGTCCATAGTGCAATGGAGGCGTCGCCAAAAGGCGGAGTGCAGCAGGCGTCCCGGAAGAGCCCGCGCCTGCGGCCGCATCCCACCGCCATTGCGAAGCCTCCTTTTCCCTCTCAGCAGCATCCGTTGGGGCATAGATCCTTGGAATTCTATGTAGTTCAAGAGAAACGGGAACTTTGCCATGTCACCTCAATTTTATACCTAGAGGGCCAACGAGACAGAACAGGAAGTTAGCTCCAAGTCCAGACGGATGTTCCGCTCCTGCCTTCGAAGGCCCTGCCCACACCCACCTCAGTGGCTATGACACACTCGTCCTTCTCTGAGATGACGAACACCGACTGGTACTTGGTGTCTTTCGACGTGGAGTACACCGAGTCCCGCCTTTTCCTGTCAGTTGCTTCCCTGCTCAAAGAAAAGCAAACCAGAACCACAGTAAGCATGTGCCAACACTTCCTTCTCAACGTATTCCTCCTGGTTTCAGAGAGGAGGTGAGAATGGGAGAGAGAGAGAGAGAGAGAGAGAGAGAGAGAGAAAGAGAGAAAGAGAGAGAGAGAGAGAGAGAGAGAGAGGTATCAATGATGAGAGAATCATGAATCAGCCCCTGCATAACCCATCCTGGGGATGGAGCCCACAACTGGGTATGTGCCCTGACAGGAAATCAAACCATGACCTCCTGGTTCATAGGTCGATGCTCAATCCACTGAGCCACACCAGCCGGGCAAACATGTTTGAACGGGGAAATGACCAGAGCTCAGAGAACACTCTTGTCCAGCTCGGCTCAAATCACCCAAGTGTCGAGGTGCCCTCCCCAGGGGGCCTCCCAGACGGCCTTCCTGAAGCACAGCACTCACCCCCTGAGTGTCGGGGCGCCCTTCTCCTCCCTGGGAGAGCCCTGCAGCTGGCACTTGGCATCGTGCTTGCTGTGAGGGTCCCTGGAGATGGCGTCCTCGCCCTTGGGCTCGGGCACCAGATTATAGTCCACCCCGGGGTAGCGGGCCTTGGGGCCGTTCTTGTCGCTGCCATGGTCCCCGTGGAAGTCCACCTTCTTGTTGGTGTTCTTGATCTGCGTGGCCCCGATGACGCTGACAGACACATCCTTCTCCCGCTGGCAGCTGGCCAGATTGTTCATGGTCTCCGTCTCCCCGTGGCAGGGGTCGGCGGGGGGCGGGCCCTTCTGCAGCCTCAGCCGCACACAGACCCCTGCAGCGGCACAGCCCAGCAGCAGCACGAGCACCAAGACCGCGCCCGCGCAGACGGCCACCCAGGGGAAGGGCCCATCCGGGTCCACCACGGGGGCTGGGGGCGGCTCGGGGAGCAGGAACTGGCAGTTGGGGCCCCCGTAGCCCCGGGCGCACTCGCATAGGTAGCGGCGGGCCCTCTCGTGGCAGGTGGCGCCGTTGTGGCAGGGCGCGTGCTCGCACCGGCTGACGGGTGTGCTGCAGTTCCTGCCGCCGTAGCCGGGCGGGCAGGTGCAAGAGAACTCGTTCACGCCATCCCGGCAGGTGCCGCCGTGGGCACATGGGGAGGAGGCACAATCGTCCACGTTGTCCTGGCAGTGCCGCCCCGAGAAGCCGGCCTGGCAGCGGCACATGTAGGCGTCGCCCAGGTCCACGCATTGCGCACCTGAAACACAGGGGCCCGTGCTGTGTGTCCGCTGCTGAGGTCCCACGGGAGAGGCCGGGGCAGGCGGCCTGCAGCCTGAAGGGGCTGCAGCTGCCCCCGTTCCTTTACCACTCTCACACCCAGGGGGAGCCACCGGCTCTGAGACTGATGACCCCTCCCCCCTCGAGACCCATAGTGGCTGCGCTGTGACGGGCGGGTGCACAGCCCCAAACAGCCACCTGCAGCCCAACAGCCACCAACGAGGGACCAGGTCACAGAGACAGTGAGCAGTCCAGCGAGGAGCCCGGGAGGGGGCAGCGTGAGCGGGAGGAAGCAGGGCCGTGTCCTCACAGAGCCCTCGGGTAGAGGGGCATCGGGCCTCCGGGGGCCACAGGACAAGAGCGCAGCCATCCGAGTGACTGCACGCCCCCTCCATCGGTGCTTAGTGTCCCACCCACACTTCCCCACAGACACACCGGACTGCTACTTGGTTGACTGTGCAGGGCTGGGCTTCCCTCCAAGCCAGGTGGCTGGCTGGAGGGTGGCACCTGCCTGGGCGAGCTGTGCCCTCCCCCATTTTCCCCTGCAGCATCCTAGAGTGTCTCTGTGTTCAGATCACGGGGCTCTGTAAGCTCATGGTGGCTCGCAAAGCCCCGAGCCCAGCCTGAGGTCAGACGTGAGCTCCCGGCGCCCTCGTCAGCAGCTGCCCTTACCGTTGGCGCAGGGCGAGGAGCTACAGGCGTCCACCTTCTTCTCGCAGTTGAAGCCGGAGAAGCCTGCGGGGCAGCGGCAGGTGTAGCCTCCCTCAGGGTTGTCTGAGCAGCGCCCCCCGTTGAAGCAAGGCCCGTCTGCGCAGGCCATGGCGCTCAGCTCGCAGACGCTGCCGTAGAAGCCGGGCGCACAGGTGCAGGAGAAGCCATTCTCGAGGTCCTACGGACGGGGACGATGGAAGGTTCCTTAAAGCTTCTCCACAGACCCGCGGGGTCCGGGTCCGGCCAGGGCCCACGCAGCCCCAGCCCTCGCGCCCAGACTCACCGTGCAGCTGCCCCCGTTCCTGCAGGGGCTGGGGCCGCACTCGTCCACCTCGTCCTCACAGGTGGCCCCGGTGAACCCGGGCCGGCAGGAGCAGGTGTAGCTGCCCTGGCCCGTGTTGGTGCAGGAAGCCCCGTTCCTGCAGGGCCTGTGGTGCGTGCAGTAGTTGAGGTCTGAGAGGGGTAGGGAAGGAAGAGGAGGGAAGTCCAGGTCAGGCCGGGAAGGCCGCACCTTCCCAGGGAGGAGCTGGAGTCCCGGCTGCCTGCGGGGGATGGGAGGCTCACCCTGGTTGCAGAAGAGGCCCCCCCAGCCCTCCTGGCAGGTGCACTGCCAGGGCTGCTGGCAGGTGCCATGGAGACAGCCCGGGTACCGAATGCACTGGTCACAGTAGCGGCCCTGCCAGCCCACTCGGCACCTAGGGGGTGGGAGGACAGGGTTAGGGGGCATCGGCCTTTGCCCAGGGCAACAAAGCACCTCCTGCTCACAGAAAACTGCCCCCAGCAGCACCTGCACCTGGTTCTCAACAGGCAAGATGGGGAATCTCCTCAGGGTCTGCCTCCTGGGTCATCTGGCAGCTCCCTGGGGGATTCTACGGCACCCCAAGTCTGACCCCAAGTAAACTGTCATTTTTCAACTGCTGTCTGAGTTCCCACAACCAGGGAACTGAGCAGACTGACAAGCCATGACCTTACACATTTCCATACACGTATGGAGTAGAAACACCCGAATCACAGCCCACCAGCTAGTATCACACCAGTTTTACAAACGGTCGCCTGGAGAGCTTACACACACACTCGCTGTACAAGGACCACCGGACAGGAAAAGCAGCTTTTGCAAACTTACTTGCATTCCCCTGGCTTGTCACAAAACCCATGCTGCTCATCGCATCCGGGCAGGCAGATTGCTGCAGCAAAGAAAATACCAGGGTCAGGCCACGCTGCTGGGCCACAGGGCCGCCGGCCGCACTCACAGGGCTCCCTCCGGCCCCTGAACTAATCTCCGTCCTGCCTGGTAACCGTGGACTTTACTCAGCCGGGCGGGTGAGCATTCTTCTTAACACAGCCGCTCGGGGACAAAAGATGGAGGAACCCCCTCCCCCTCCCCATCCCCTTTTCTTCTGAGAGAGGGTCAGAAGTCCTTCCCCACCTCCTCCCCCACTTCCCAATTCTATGCACAAAGCTCCACCTCTTAATACCCAGAAAGTGTGTGTGTAGATAAGGGTGGACAGCTGGTCTGCAGAGACCAGGGCAAGACAGCTGCTCCATTGTCTGCTCTCTCCCAGCAGCTGCCCCGTGCAACAATACGGCCCTCACCCCGGCCCCCACCCCACACACCCCAGCGTGTACACACCACACACACATGCACGTGCACGCGCGCCCTTTCCGCCAATGGGAGCCGGCATGCGTCCCTGCGCCTATCCCTGCCGGCATCTAATGGATGGCACGCGCGGGCTGGGGGCGGGGAGAGACTCCAGTGTTTGAATAAGAAGAAAAAAGTTTGAGTCTGTGACTACCCCCCGACAGTGAAGAAGAGAGAGGACAGTGAGGAAGGGAGCAGCAAGCCTGGTGGGGAGTGGGGCGGGAGTGGGGGTGGAAGGGGCCTGGCTGGCTTCCTGGTCTGGTTATGCCTGGTTATGAAACTCATTAACAAGCCGCTCCACAAGTTTTTAGGACAACAGAGCCGCTCAGGCCAGAGTGGAACTCCAAGTGCTTAAGTTGCTGATGGAGAGCTGAGCGAAGGGTGTGGAGCGAAGTGCACCACACCCCAGGCATAGACCCATCCCAGAGTGCACAACTGGGGAGGCTGCCTGCCCCAGGGCAGGGGAAGGAAGGTTCCGTGGGGTCTGGGAACCCTGACTGCAGGGAAACCAGATCCCTGGCCGTGCAGGCGGCAGGGGTACGTTGCAGGCTGGGGAGAGGCCTCCGGGTCCACCTGAACCAGGCCCAGGAGCCTACAGGTTCTCACAGCCCCCACTCCCAGCTCTGGTTCCTTGCGGCTGCAGAGCAGCTGCTGGCCTGTCCTGGCTGCCAGGACAAGCGAAGACGGGCAGGAAGGCCTAGGTCCCTCGTAAAGGCATTTCTTTCCCAGACGGGGTCCCCCCACGCAGGCCTGGTACCCCCAGCCTCCACATGCACCCATCCCCACAGGTGACAACATCAGACAGCTTGTGCACATCCCACGGGTGTTTGCAAACACGCAAGCTCTGGGAAGAGGCCAACTGCCCCAACTTCAGAGAATTAAGCACTTTGCACTGAGATGCTGTCCCAGCAAAAAGAACTGGTTCACAGCGGCCAACAGACCAACGCCAACACCCCATGCTGCCCTCCGTTCCTCCCTTCCTTCCTCCCCCCTCTCCCTCACTGACTTCCTGACCCCTGGCCTGTCTCCAAAATCCTCCCTGATTAAGAAGGGCAGCTTCCCATAGAGGAAGTTAAAATGTCTGAGTTGACCCAACCCCATGACCAGTTGACCGAAGTTTTGGCAAGTATCCAGGGCTCCCCAGACTCTGTTTCCCCACGGAACCCCTCTCTAGTGCTAATAGCCTGGATCCAGACCCACAGAATGCCCCTCCGCTTCCTGGGAAGGGAGTAAGCTGAGGGGAGCAGCCCTCGGACCCACCTTCGGTGCAGTACTGACCCCTCCAGCCGGGGTTGCACACCTTCTCCCCCCGCTCCCCGCAGGTGAAGTGTCCGAAGGCGTCATCCCGGGGCCGGCAGAAGACGGAGCAGCCCTCCCCGTAGTAGTGCTCGTCGCACACGAAGCGGTAGGAGTACTTGAGGTCAGCGCGGCCGCTGCTGTGCAGGTCCTGGGACCACTCCTCACCCACCGTCAGGTGCCTCTGTGTGGCCAGCCGGCTGATGAGCCGCTCGGGGTTTTCTGCGGGAGAGACACCCTGTGAGTGCTGGCTCTGCACCGGGACAGGGCAGGGAGGCCCACCCTGCAGGGGGACCAGACCCTCTGCCCTGTGGCTCTGCAGAGTGAGGCATAGGCACAGGGTCGCAGAGTTCTGGGGTTTGGGGGGGAGGGGGGAGTGTTTACCTGTGGCGAGGTCGTCGGGAGAATCTGTGTGCAGAGCTTCGATGATCAGAGAGAAGGTGCCCTGGGAGAAGGGGAGACAGGGAAACAGAACCTTCTCTCAAACGCTAAGCCTGGGCACACATCAGGAGGCCTGGGGCTGCTAGCAACCTGGGCGGTGTTTTCACTTTCCTCAAGGAAATGGAAGAACTTTTTAAAGAGTGATTTCCTGGCGTGTTTTTACAGCCTGTTAGTACAGGATATCACGGGAAAAAAAAAAAAAAAAAAAAAAAAGGAAAGAAAGGGACTGCGCAGAGCAGGCGGGGCTGGCTGTCCTCGTTCTGCAGGGGATGGACCCGCGAGGGGGGGAACACGCGGAAGGCAGGCCGCGCGACCAGCCCACTCCGCGGGGGGCGAGGGCCTTTCCACGGAAGGGCTCGTGGGCGGGGCTGGGCCCCGAGTCTGGGAGGGAGGGTCCGCCCCGCTTGGCCTCACCCGCCCCGCTGTCACCGCCAGCCCAGGCCCGCCTGCCCCAGGTGGCTCACCGGCCAGGTGAAGCCCAGCGGGAAGCGGATGGGATTGCTGAAGGCGGGGTGGGCGCTCGCGCCGTCGGGGAGGCTGAAGGAGCCGACGCCCAGAACGGGCGTGACGGCGCTGCCGTAGGTGCAGGGCGGCTCAGGCGACACGCTGGCCTGGTAGTGCTTGAGGCACACGCGGAAGAAGGTCCTGCAGGCGCACGGTGGCCCCGTGGCCCCGCGGCAGCAGCTGCGGTCGCCCGGCGGCCCCTTCCGGGTGACGAACTCCTGCAGCTTCAGCTCGAACACCCCCGAGCTCCAGACCTGCGGGGCAGCGGCGGGGCAGCGGGTGAGCGCGGGGCCGGGCGCGGGGCCCTCCGGGCTCGCCTTCGCTCCGGGGCGCGCCGCGTCCTGCCCCGGCCCCGCGGCCGGACACTCACCTGGCACAGCAGGGCCGCGGCCACGGCGAGGGCCAGGGCGCCCCGGCGGCCCATGGCCACCGCCCGCCTTGCCGGCCCCCCTGGCGTCCGCCGGGCCTCCCTCCAAGCGGCGGCGGGGTGCGAGGCCGAGCGCGCGCCGAGCGGGGCGGCAGGAGGCCGCCTGGCCTGCGGGAGACCGGACTCCCCGGGTCCGGCCGGCTGGTCCAGGCCCGGCTCCCGGTCGCCCTGCGGCTGCGGCCCCGGCGACGCGCGAGGACAGGGCTCGCTCAGGGAGGTCGCTCCTGCAGCAGCAACTTTCGGTTTCCTCTCGTGCTTCCAATCCACGAGTGGGCGAGGGTCGCCCTCTTCCTGGTTTTGTCTCCGGCGTCTTCGCAGGAAAAAGACGAGCGGCAGGAGGGAGGGAGGGAGGACGCGTCCAGCGGTCGGTTCAGCGCCCGGGAACGGCGGGGGCCGCCCAGAGCCCGGTGGGAGGCGCGGTCCGGGGATCCAGGCGCTTCGGGATCCCGGCCGAGCCGGTCACTTGGCCGCGGCGGGCGCTCGGGACGCAGCCCGGGGCCCCGGGGCCGCCCGCGCCGCCGCGGAGAGTCGCGTCGCTCCGAGGAGCCCAGCCGGTGCCATCCGAGTGAACACGCGCGGGGCGGGAGGCCGTGGGAGGAGGCTCCGCGCCCAGCCCGTCCTCGCAGCTCCCGAGCGCCGGCCGCCGGTCTGCGGGTGCGCGCCGAGGGTCTGGCTCCGCCGGAGCCGCGCCCTTATATCCCGCCGGCCGTCCGCATGGCTAATGAGATGCAAATGAGCGGCCCCCAATCTGGCGGAGCTGTCACAAAGGAGCCACTCTCCAACCCTCCTCTCAAAGGCTCGCCAAATGGTCAGTGAGCTGTAAAATGTGCAACTCCCTCCGCCCTCCGGCCCCCGCGCCCGCCCCGCCTCCCCGGGCGCTCATTTACATGCCGGCGGAACGCTGCCGCGAGGATCCCCCCGGTTCCGGCGCCGGGGCCGCGGCCCGGCCTCCGCGGCTGCCTCCCGGCCCCGGGCACCCGGAGCCCGGGGACCGCGGGGCGCGCGCCTCCGCCCGCCGAGCGCCCCGGCCTGAGCGCTGGACGCGGCCGGAGAGACAGTCTCCCCGCGCGCCGGGGCCGGAGCTCCGGGAAGGGAGGGTGCGAAGCTAGAGGCCCCGCTCCCCGCGGGCCGCCTTCCCGGGCGGCCTCTTCCGAAGGCGGAGTCTCCAGGGAGGGGGCCGAAGCACCGCAGGACAGGAGCGGGCACCGCGGCAGCGGGTGGCGGGAGACAGGGCAGTTTCGAGAAGTTTGGGGAGGTCTGACCTCATCCACCTCCCGGCCGACTGCGGCTTTGCGTTTGGGGACGCAGGGCCCGCACGGAGGGGGGCCGGGGGCGAGCCGGTGGCCGGGGACCGGGATCCCCGCGGCCACTGGAGGGCGGGGCCGTAGCGCGTCCCCCGCCTGGAGACACCGACGCTGCCAACGACAGCCCTCCGCCCCGCGCTCACGCACCCTCCCCGCGCTGCCCTGCCGCCGCCGCCTGCCCGGGTCCGGCCTCTCCGGTGTCTCCCCTCGGCGCCCTCCCGGGTAAAAGTGAGTTCGGTGTGTGCCGCTCGCGTGGCTGTCATTAGGGCGCCTGTTATTGTGCAGGCGAATCAGGGGCTCTTTGTGCGCTCAGCTGTATGGTAATGCGGCCGCACCTGCTCCGCACAATGCGAGCTCCCTCCGCCCGGACCGCCGCCACAATGTCCGGCACAGGCCCGGGACCCGCCGCCCCGCCGCCACCTCTGCGCACCATCACCTGATGAGGTCTACACGTCCATCAACGCTGGAACTTTGTTTTCATTTATTTTAAAGGGAAATGAGTTTATTGGGAGGGCCGAGAGCACCGTATCACACAATGAATTCTCCAAATTGCTCTCCTGCTCGCGTGGTGAGCTAGAAGGAAGGTGGGCGCACACTCCTGCCCTGGCACCACTCCGAGTTCCCCACTCCTTGCTGCTCCGCCTTCACATCCCCAACACACACACACACACACACACACACACACACACACACACACACACACACACAGCTTCCTCCTGCCACAGGGTGTGAGCGGGAGGTGATCCCTTGGATCACAGCACAGCCAGGTGCGGCCGCCTTATTGGTGGGAACCGCTCACTCTTCCTGGCCAAATGGGCTTTCACTGCCGCCGACGACAGGATCACAAAGTTTGGGATCCTCAGTCGGTCCGCTGTGCACACAATCTGAGAGTCTCTTGTGACTTTTTCCACTCGGGGTCCCCGCTGCTGCCTGTGCGGTCACCGGAAGTCACGTTTAAGGCTGTGGTGAGAAAGGCTGGCTAGGGCCCCACCAGAACCCCCTACTGTGTGGTTCCGAGCAAATGGAAGCTTCAAAAGTGCCAGAGACAAACAGAGGCTCTCCCAGCCCAGCCGCCCGGGTGACTTTGCAGGACTCACCACCCTGGCGCCCTGGCCAATCCTAATTTAATCTTGCCACCTAGTGTCAGCATCCTTTTTCCAGGACATCCATGTTCCCTCTGCAACTCTGCGCTCCCACAGCATGGGAACTGGTGTACTGGCGGGGAGGGGAGTGTGCATGTGAGTGTAGTACGGGTGTGTGGGGGTGTGCGTGTGCATGGGGGGAGAGGTGAAGGTGTGGGTGTGTGGGGGGTGTGGGGGTGGGGAGGTGGGAAGTGCAGGCTCACAGGAGCAGAGAGATCAGAGGAAGAGTGGAGTGTGGACTCTGTGCCTCAGAGGCTGGGAGTAGACTCCACCAAAAATGAAATATCAGGAACCTTTTAATTAGGAAATGGAATAGGAAACAGGTCCCTTTGCATGCAGGTTAGAAAACTAGAAATAAGTTCCACGCGCAAGGGCTTAAACCTTAGGCGGGGGGAGACTTGCCCCAAATCTTTAACAAACCCCCTCAGCACCGAGTATTTGTTAAATTGACACGGCACAGATTTCTCGATTACAGCAGCAAAGCGGAACTGAAAGGCGTCGTAAAATCCATCAGAATCCTGCCCAAAGCACTCATTCTTTCCCCACTTAATTTATGCCACGCGGTTCTGTGTCGGGGAAATCAAGCAGAACGGGTCTTTCTCCTTCCTTCTCGCCTGCTCTTCTTTCCTCCTTTCTTCTTCCCCTCCTCTCTCCTCCTCCTCCTCCTCCTCCTCCCACTCCACGTGGGCTCCCCCTCCCTCCGAGGCCGGGCTGAGGAGACTGTTTAACTCCGTGTTTCTATGGGAGCCTGTTGTAGTTTAACTCCTGCACACCAGTCGCTGGGAGGAACAAAGGAGAGACTCGAGGTCCAACTATTCACCCTTTCTTTGCACTTTAATTTTCATTGATTGGGAAGACAAGGGGAGCCCTTGGGGACTCGGCTGAAGGGGATGACACGCCTTTAGACGCCATCAGCCCCCTAGCCAGCCATCTGCTCTGAACCAAATGGCGTTTTTTCACTCCCTAACTGCATGTCTCTATACTCCCACAGCCCAGCGCTCCGAAACCCCCCAAAGGCAGCCAGGAGCTTAGGCCACCGTATGTTAAATAGACTCACTCTGCGTCGGCCCCCACACCCCGTCTCCCTCCCCACACGCCATAAATCCTCACCTTGCTCATTAGGAAAAAGCAGGAAACTTTCTTTTAAATACTTTTTGATATCTCAGCAAATTCACTGTACAACGTAAAGCTCATTAGGGCTGAGAAGGCACCAATACATCAGACAGGAGAGGGGAGGAATTTCCTGCTGGGTGGTTTGTTCCCACCAGGCACAGGCAGCTCAGAGCCCAGATGGCCCAGTGGTTAGGGCAGGACCCAGCGACACCACAACCATCACAGCCGAGCTCTCTGCTTGCTGGACACCCTAGTTATTTCACCAATTGTGCTAGTGGGCCACATGATCAAATGACACATGCCCACCCTCGATGGTGAGTGTGACCTGTGCCTGTGGGCACCCAGTCTGGGGTCAAACCCCGTCCACCCAAAGGAAGGTTCTCTTCTCAGGTGTGTGTGGTGCTGGCCGTGGGCGTGGGCGGCAGGCAGGCTGCACACAATGCCTGGGTTGGGCTTCCCACTTCAGGCCGGCCACCGGCTCAGTGTTCTGTGTAAACAAGTCTGGAGACTGGAGTGGGGTTTGTGTTTTCATAGGCCATCCAAATGCTGTATACCCAACAGAGAGGTTCCCTTATTCCAAGGAAGAATCAGGGTCCTTGTTCAGAACAACAAAATGAAAAACTTCCAGGAAGCAAAGCTGCTGTTGGTCAAACATGCCAGCTTTCTTGAAAGGGAAGGAGCCCACAGCGTGTGTACTCATTAGTATGAGCACCACATCCCACCCACACCCTCCTCTTCTCCAGCCACAGGCGGTGCTGTGGCGAGGATGGAGCGGTGAGAGCCCGTGTGGCCTGTGGATGTCATGGGCGCCTCTCCCTTCTTCCCGAGGACCAGGTCCCGAAGCCCAGGCACCATTGGGGGCCCAGGCGCCGCTGGGGGCCCAGGCCTGTGTGGTGGAGACATGGGACACATGGGTCATGCCTGGACTGCCCTGGCTGAGGATGCCTTCTCACCTACACCAGGGATCTTCAACCAGAAATTGGTAAAGCATGCCATACCTCCCTCTTCAGTCAGGGCACTGAGTTCTCTTTTCCCTTAGATTGTAAAATAAAATAAATTTTAAAAATGACAGCAGGTAACAATAGCTGCTGGTGTGAATGAATCCAAATTATGTCTTTTTTGGTCAGGTCGATAAAGGATATATATTTTTGGTGTGCTGCAGCATTTGAGTCATCAGTTGATGTGCCATGACATGAAAATGTTTGAAATCGCTGACCTCAGCCAGCCAGCCGCATCAGGAAAGAGAAGGGGCGCATCTAGCGTCTATTTAGACACGGGGCTCCCCTCTGGCTGGGGGTCAACAACGCAGCACACTCGGGGCCCGTCCCCCCCAACCCCCTCCTCACACCCAGGTCGGCGACCCCTGCCCGCAGGTTAGAGTGAGCGGGGGCGGGGGACGGGGGGGAGGGGAGACAGAATCCCAGGGACCACCACCCCT